GTGTTGTCGCAATATTGATATAGAGAAGATAAAACATCCATCATAAACATTTGGCTTAAAAATATACTGTATATACCTAATAACTTAAAATTAAAATATAATTACAAATTAAGCAAACGATAGCAACTTACACCATATACATTTTATTCAACATTAATTGTATAGTTAACTACTTTGAACAAATATATAGCAAGTTATAGCAAATATAACAACTTACATTGACTATCGAAGTGTTAAAATACGAAATGTATTTAAATATAACTTAGTAGAGTATTTAGGGTCTAAGAGCAATTTTTTAAGTGAGTGTAGAGATAAATGAGGGTAAGACTTTGGGTTTATAGTCTAAAATCGTAGTAAAATATTGAACTGGACCGGTCTAGAGACAACCTATGGTGTAGTTTTTCTATGGTCTCCTTCGCTAATGAATATGACATAGAAGAGAGAGGGTTTAGGACGGTAAAGAAATGATGAAAATGCGGTTTCCTAAACTTCCCCCTCTTGAAAATGCATTGCACATGAAGAATAAGTTAGTACTACAGATAGATATCCATATCCCATCAACCTTAATAAACCCCTTTTAAGCTCTCTGATGTTTGTCAAGTAGGAGGAATATGTTGGCAGAAAAGACCACCTCCTGATGACCTGATCACTGCAATATCAGAACTTTGTCAAATTATGTTCAAACTATTTGCACAAGGCAAGTTGCCATTGCCAAGCAAAGAGAGGCAAATGTTATTGAAGGAGGAATTCTTCCCTTGTCCTTCCTAAAGAACATTGCTCCATAAACGGGCACATTTATCGCAACCATCGATCCGCAAAGAATCAGTTGTGCAAAATAGTCATTCAACCTTGCAACCCCTTCATAAACCAGTAGCCGCATCACCCCACCCAACAAACAACCAAGGTTGAGCACTGCAATTGTTGCTATGATTCTAAACATAGGAGATGAAGATCCAAATTCCATGACCTCGTTCTCATACCTCTTGCTCTCATCTCCATCAGCGACCTTTGATGTGATTGTAAATGATGACTTGGAGAATCCCAACAGCTTTATGATAGTGTCACTGACTCCATAGAGGTAGGAGGTTAATCTTTTGTATACCCACATTCTTTGCGAGTTCCACCATCCAGAAAATGTATCTCCACAGAGTAAGGACTCAGCTGCGGCATATGTGTTCTTTGCGACTATCACATAGGCAAAAGTTGTAAACCAAGGACTAGATACCTGAATATAGTCATTATGATTATACAGTATTTAGACCAATATGTGAGAGCTAGAGGGTTGGTGTTTATGTGTTTATATTCACTTACCTTTGGGAATAAAGAGATTCCTTTGAGGAGGCAAAGAGGAGGGACTATGAGGTAGTAAAATGTCGGCAATGAGTTTGGAGCCCACAATCCATAGATGCTATAGGCAAATTGGAGTCCTAGCTTGATTTTTCCATGGCCTTGAATGATAGGGCAGTGCTTAGAGAGGGAGATTTGGAAGTTACCCTCGCCCCATCTCTTGTGTTGCACCAATGTTTGCTCTAGCGTTGTTGGGGCCATCCCTAAGAAACCTTTTCTTGAAGGATTGTGACAAATGGATCTCCATCCTTTACACTGAATTGTCAAACCAGTAATTATATCTTCAACGGGAAAACCATATTTCAACCCTACCTCTTTTCCCCATAGGGTATTGTTCTCATAGATACATGTTATAAGAGACTCAGCTCTCCCTTCCAATGTGCTAGTATTTTCTTGATGTTTTATTTCCTCACTTCTTATCCAGTCTTCATTATAATCGCCACTGTACTTCTTTCCACACAGACTCTCACGTCTGTGAAAGCATCCGGTGCCTACATATGCTGGTCCTCCCCAGATATCAAAACCAGATATCTCCACCTGTTAGACCGAGAAATAACATTAGTCATGCTAGTTTTTTTTTTGAGAGAACATTAGTCATGCTTGTTAAAATGAATTGACTGGTTATTTTCTCTATGATCTTCACTCACCATACCAATCACATTTAAAGAATTTGCATAGAGGTCATTCTTAGTTATGTTGTGGAAGAATTGGGGGTATTGCACGTAGGCGACATCATGGCTCCTCTTATCCAGGAAGAAGCACAATGCATCTTTAATGGATGCTGAGTTGTTTGAGTACATGTCACAGTCCACATTGAGGATGATTGGTGCGTTACTTATCTCTGATGACACTCTTATCTGCACATAAGATGACACTCTTATCTGCACATAAGATGAAAAGTTGGGGGGCCAGACGTATATTTGAAGGGAAAATTTTGATCAAATTTTAAAGTAAGAATTTAAAGCAGAGTTTATGGGATTACAGGCATTATGTACACATATATCTTATGTATCATGTGCATATGTTTGATAATAGAAGGAATTTTGTGCAAAGTACCAAAGCATTCATCGCCCCAGCTTTGAAGTTATGGTGATGTTGAGGATGCTTCTCACGTGCCACATATACTAATGTGGGCAATGGGTTCCCATCCAAATCAGTTGCAGTCTGATCCCTTCCATCAATCATGATCTGAAGAAACAGATTCAGATAATTTTACTGTATTAGACACATAAACAAACAATTAGTATTTTCATAGGCTATCTAATATGAAGTGATGTGATGATTTCTACTGGCTTTTAGTGTATAAACTCACAACTCTAGTCTCCTGGTAAATGGGCAAGAATTGCTGATTGAATGTTGTACCTGAACAATAGGTCGATGGTTTCTTGAAGTCATCTCTGCATTCCACTTGGAAACTCTTTTCTGTTCTTTGAATTCTTCAGGAATTTTGCCTAAGGATACAACTCTTTCAATGCGAGAAGTCATATCTTCAAACAATTTCTGCACAACAGAATTTCAGAGTTGCAGATCAGTCACTGTTAGGTTGCTGAGCCATTAGTTCGTATATGTGCACTTGTGCCTCCAAGTAGGGAATACTAACCTGGTCTGGATACAAGAGTTAGTTACTAGCACTAGCTAACTCCCATCCAACTTTGCTGACTCTAGTTTAAGACACATCAAACCGTGATTTCATATGAATGATGGAGTTGCCATTTTTAATGTACACATAGGCACATGTATGCACACGCACAACCACATGCGTACAAACATTGCACACATAAACACACCACATAGAGTAAACGGTGTCCATTTGCTGATTTGGTGCACATGTAGAGTACTGCAACCCAGATCATCGACACCCAAATCATAACTGGCGAGCAATGTGTGCTACATCAGCGACACACAGCCAAGACTATAGAGCGTTACGCCAACACCTGTTTACTCTGTTTCTCTCCCTATACTCACCACAAGGGTTAATCGTGGATAGACCCGCCGTACTATCACGTAATTGTGGATTGAACCCTTGGTAATTTTATTGTTGTTGACAAGCCCCTAGAGCGAATTTTTTGACTCTTTTACACCAAGAGAAAGATAAATTTGTGCGCTCTCAAATGGACTTGCTGGCGGTAAAAGAGTGAAACGATCAACTCAGGTATATCTGCAGCAGCAGAATATTTTTCTTTTTTTTTCTTTTTCTTTTTCTTTTTCTTTTTTTTTTTTTTTTTTTTTTTGGGGGGGGGGGGGGTCTATCCGCAGTTGAGAGATAGTGCAGGGTCTATCTACAATTAACTCATGTACATAATTGTACTATGCAAATCCAACCCCAAAGATTGATTTGCTTACATCTTTAGATATTCAAATACACAGTTTGGGGTTGTAAAACATTACTGTGATTCTTCAATAGATTTTTACCTTCATGGATGACCACTCATTATAATTTGAATTATTGTTATCCTTGCAGGGCGTGCTAAAGTAGGCCATGGGGGATCTTGGTTCCATCTTGAATTTCTTGCAATAAGGAAGCCAGTGCTTTGCAAAGCAAGAAGCCTCCCACAGAGCATAGAATGTGAGAATGGAGCCAGCATCATCGGAGAGATAAATGCTTAGCTTCTCAGGTTCATAATCGTAAGCCATGAGAGATAGGATTGTCGACATAACAAGTGATGGTGGCTCTGCAAAGGGATCTGCTGTACACACAAATATGTCCACTTTCGGCAGTTGAGCTCCAAATCTGCGGAAAAAGAGATCACATAATCTTTTGTAATGAACATATTCATGTGATTTTCTTCTATTAATATTTTTTTTCCATTTACCCGTTATTCTTCATTATTCCTTTTATTTATAGCACTTGACTTATTAATTGATGTCTTCTTCTTCTTTTATTCCCTTCGGCAAATGAGAGTATTCTATTCTCTCAATTAGGGGCTTGTTATGTTGCATATTAATTAGTCAGTTTTCGAGCAGCAAATTTCAAGGTGCTGTGAGCTGAAAAGAATAATTAACACTTCTACTGAGCTGGACGCAATCTGTAACAGGTGGTGAAAATTGGAAGAAATTCAAAATTATAGTAATAATTTGTACCTTTGAGAGAGCTTGTCCTTGTGAGTTCGATAGTAGATTGGGTTCCAGCGAGCCGACTGAGTTACAAACCAATAAAAACCAAACCATATCTCAGCTCCAAAGAGCCCCAACCAAGCCCATCTCCCTTCAAGTGGGATATGAGTTGCTCTATAGAACCAAATCAACAATATGCCAGCCAAAACTGAGCTAGCATACAACTTATATGCAGCCCTCCCCTTTGCACTCTCAGCTGTGAAGAGATACCCAGAGCCATTCTCTATATCAACCATCACTGCTAAATCTCCCCTTCTTGTTCTCTCCCAAGTTCGTAGTTTGTGTTGCTAGATATAATGCATAAAGAGTAGGCTTAAAGTGCGAGGTCTTTCATTGGTCAAGTGATAAACTAATGTCGTCCTTCTCTTGGATGAAACGTAGAGCAACAATACTACGTGGTCCAATTTGCATTGTTCATTCGATAAGGCCGTAAATTCAGATAATGCCTAAAATCCTAACATTCAAAAACTACTACTCGGATTGATGTGGTGAGCTTTGGAGCGCCTATCACTGGGATCTTGAAAATTCAGACAATATCCTGGTAATATTTGTGGGCTCCATTCTGTTGGGTGAGAGTGCGTAATAGTTAGATAAGTTCTGAGTTCATTACATCTAAAAATATCAAGAAGAAAACGTAGCAGTTTGAGACGAAGTATGTGTTGGGGAGAAACCCCTATGCCGAGATCCAACCAGATAGCCGAGACAGATAAACAACCACACCAAACAATAGCACAAACAATCAAACACCAGATTTTACGTGGTTCGGCGAGATGCCTACGTCCACGGGGCAAGGAGGGAGGAGTTTTCACTATTAGAAATCAAGGGGATACAACTAGGGTTACAAATCTCTCATAAACCCTCAACAAATCAACTCTTGATCTCACCAATTGCTCCTAAAATAGAAGCCCAAAGAAAACCCTCTCAATCTGCTCAAAACCCCTTGCTTCCAAACCCTAGAATCGAGTTTAGGTATTTATAGAAAACCCAAACGAAATGGGTCTGGAAAACAGACCCAGCCCAAAACCGCTACGGCGGTCAACCGTGGCGGTCGACCGCGATCCATCGCTGTGCACGAACGCGGTCGACCGTCGCGGTCGACTGTCAACCTGTCTGTCTGCCAATGCATGTTCCTGCCATTTCTACAAATCTCCACCTCGACGAATATTCTACCAAACTGAGCCGACACCAACCAAACCAATGCTCACTTGTTGCATCCAGTACGCCATGGCAACGTACTCATGACAACGGACCCCATCCACAACATGTCGAGACCCAAACGGGAGTGCGAACACTCACCCCAAAACAACTGTGTCTACTCTCCAAATCGGCTGCATCAAAACTGACTGCCTACGTATCCTCTCCAAGGAATCAAGCCTTCACGTAGTTCACCCAATGGCCTCCAAAGGCCCTCAGTCTAAACTGCGGCTGATAGCATCATCAACGACCCCAAACTGAAACGATCCAAACTCCTCCACCTGAGGTGAAACAATGGCCGTATCCAAGCTATATCTACCAGCTGCACTCGGATCTACCAACTCGTCATCCGCATCCGTATCCAAATGATTCCCACGCTGTGCCATCTCAGCTGGAAAACCCAATAATACAGAATGACCTGGAGTATGTAGAGTAAGCTCCACCTAATGTGGAGTAGCATCACTCTCCACCTGCTGCGGTATCCCTCTGATCTGATCAATACTCTCTACCTGCCAAGAGTCCAAAGTGACAAGCCTGCTCAGACCAAACTCAGAAGCTCCCAACTGATAGCCGAATGAACTCCTGAATCCCAAATGCGCAGTCGGATCCAATCTCACATCAACGATGTGACCAAGTGTTGGGTAGCCAAATATCCGACGCCGACCAAAATCTAAAGCAGCTCCACCAGATCTAACAACTCTACACGCAGCAGTCGGTAACCTCATAAGATGGCCTAAACATGTCAAAGCATGAATACCAAATCCACTGCTCGACAACCAACACCGATCCTCCTCCAGAAAGGAACGGACCACTAGATCCGCCATCTCATCACGTCGCCCCACTGTCTCCTCTCCTCTGAAGTGTCTCCAACTGCCATGAGCTCGGCACCAATGTAAGAAAGGACCCATACTAGAACTAGTACGACGGGTAGCCTTCCTGCCCATACACCTCCTCTAACTGTTACGGACTACTAGGGCTTCATACCAACGGGACTTGGTTGCAATCCATAAATACCTAGTATAATCCCCAACATAGGAAACAAAATAACAATTACCTCCCGATGATGCCTCCTCGGAAGGCTCCCCGATGCCTGACTGAACACCTCCAATAAGACCCCTCGATCGGTGGGTAGAAGTGCTAAACTCCACCTCTGTCTCCTCGCTCATCCCAATGTGTTCACAGGACTTCAATCTGTAGGTCATAGCATTCCTTAACAATCTGTACACGGCATAACCAATAATATATCCCAGCACCAAACAATGCTATAGTCTAGCCAAAGAAGTCGTCAGCGCTCTATCAATCACCGTGCTCCCAAGCAGATAATACAAGTTACTCCTTCTGACGTCCTTCATCACAATCATGGACCCCGATGTGACCTTCAAGCGAGAATCCGCCAAGGTCACCCTATAGCCTGCTGTCTCCAATACCCCAAGTAAAATGATGTTCTTTCTCAGTTGAGGAACGAACCTCACATCAACCAACTCCTGAATCATCTCGTCACTCGTCCGAATACGAACGGTACCAATACCATCAATAGGGCATCTGTGATCATTACCCATAAGAACAACATCCCCGTATTCTAACTCCTGAAAGCTGGAGAACCAATCCCTCCTAGGGCATATGTGATAAGTAGCACCAGAATCCAACATCCACTCGGTAGAGTCGGCAACACCAACTGACAGAAGAGCTAGGCAAGAATAGCCTGAAGAATCTGAATCTGAAACGTCACCACTAGCCTTGGCAACATTCACCTCTGAAGCTTGAATAGCTTTCCCCTTATTCTTCTCGGCTTGCAATTTTGGGCATTCGGCTTTCCAATGTCCATCCTCTCTACAAAAGGCACACTGATTCCTACCAACTACATGATGCCCCCCTCTAGACTGTGACCTCCTACCACGGTTTGGACTTCTAGCTCTTGCAACCAATGTCCCCACAACCGGCTCAATGAAAGTCTCATTGTCCTTCTTACGAAGTTGATAATTCACAAGAGCTGTGGTGACCTCACTATACGTAAGAGATGTCTTCCTATTAATAAGAGTGAGGACGAAGGTCTAATATTCATCGTCGGGCAAGGAACTCAATAACAACAATGCCTTGTCTTCATCTTCAACTATAACATCAACATTCGCCAAATCTGCAAGTAGCTTCGTGTAGTGGTTCATGTGATCACTAATGGATGTTCCCTTCTTCAATTAGAAGAGATAAAGCATCCTCTTCAAATACACGTCAAATATTTGCCCTCTAGGACCTCCCAAATCTTCTTTGCTGAAGTCTTATTTATCACATCATATTTTAGATCTTGGGTAAGACAAAACTTAATCACACCACACGTCGTTCTATTCATTTTATTCCAAACCTTATCATTAATGTCGGCCAATTTCCCATCCAACTCTAACGTATCTTCTAAATTTTGCGCATTTAACGCATCCATGACTTCGCATTGCCAAAGTCCAAAATTATTTGTGCCGTTGAACTTTTTCACATCTATTTTCATAGAATGTATATTCAAATTTTGAACGGCCTTCACACGAGAAGAACCCTCCCCAATTTTATCTTTTCCGGCCATATATCTCAAAGCACACAAACTATTGCGGAACAAGCAAGAAATAGATCCAACTTGAAAAAGATAGAAACTTTACCACAAAGATCCCACCTTTATCACCAATCGAAGCTCTAGATGAACTTCCCAACTGATCTACCCACAAAGATCCCACCTTTATCACCAATCGAAGCTCTAGATGAACTTCCCAACTGATCTACACCTCCAAGAAGCCCAAGCGTTGCCCGGAGCTCTGATACCACTTATTGGGGAGAAACCCCTATGTCAAGATCCAACCAGATAGCCGAGAGAGATAAACAACCACACCAAACAATAGCACAAACAATCAAACACCAGATTTTATGTGGTTCGGCGAGATGCCTACGTCCACGGGGCAAGGAGGGGGGAGTTTTCACTATTAAAAATTAAGGGGATACAACTAGGGTTACAAAAATCTCATAAACCCTCAACAAATCAACTCTTGATCTCACCAATTGCTCCTAGAATAGAAGCCCAAAGAAAACCCTCTCAATCTGCTCAAAACCCCTTGCTTCGAAATCCTAGAATCGAGTTTGGGTATTTATAGAATAAACTCTGTGCACGAACGCGGTCGACCGTCGCGGTCGACTGTCAACCTGTCTGTCTGCCAATGCATGTTCCTGCCATTTCTACAAATCTCCACCTCGACGAAGATTCTACCAAACTGAGCCGACACCAACCAAACCAATACCTCACTTGTTGCATCCAGTACGCCATGGCAACGGACTCATGACAACGGATCCCATCCACAACATGTCGAGACCCAAACGGGAGTGCGAACACTCACCCAAAACAACTGTGTCTACTCTCCAAATCGGCTGCATCAAAACTGACTACCTACGTATCCTCTCTAAGGAATCAAGCCTTCACGTAGTTCACCCAATGGCCTCCAAAGGCCCTCAGTCCAAATTGCGGCTAATAGCATCATCAACGACCCCAAACTAAAACGATCCAAACACCTCCACCTGAGGTGAAACAATGGCCGTATCCAAGCTATATCTACCAGCTGCACTCGGATCTACCAACTCATCATCCGCATCCGTATCCAAATGATTCCCACGCTGTGCCACCTCAGCTGGAAAACCGAATAATACAGAATGACCTGGAGTATATGGAGTAAGCTCCACCTAATGTGGAGTAGCATCATTCTCCACCTGCTGCGGTATCCCTCTGATCTGATCAATACTCTCTACCTGCCAAGATTCCAAAGTGACAAGCCTGCTCAGACCAAACTCAGAAGCTCCCAACTGATAGCCGAATGAACTCTTGAATCCCAAATGTGCAGTCGGATCCAATCTCACATCAACGATGTGACCAAGTGCTGGGTAGCCAAATATCCGACGCCGACCAAAATCTGAAACAGCTCCACCAGATCTAACAACTCTACACGCAGCAATCAGCAACCTCATAAGATGGCCTAAACATGTCAAAGCCTGAATACCAAATCCACTGCTCGACAACCAACACTGATCCTCCTCCAGAAAGGAACGGCCCACTAGATCCGCCATCTCATCACGTCGCCCCACTGTCTCCTCTCCTCTGAAGTGTCTCCAACTGCCATGAGCTCGGCACCAATGTAAGAAAGGACCCATACTAGAACTAGTACGATGGGTAACCTTCCTGCCCATACACCTCCTCTAACTGTTACGGACTACTAGGGC